AATGTGTTCTTAATTCCTTCATCAAGTAAATGGGTTTAATTAACCTGTAAGAAATATGAAATTGATTTTCCAAGGCCCGTAATTAAATAATGTATGACAGTTTTAAATGTTATTTGGTTATTACCAAAATAGTCAGTCCAATATGACAACTTTAACTGAGGATAAATATTTCCTGGGACCAAAGCCCTCCATAGGGGTGTATGGTTGGGAGAGTAGCAGTCTTATGACATTGCCTGGGTAGGTGCTGAGTTATCGTGATCTGAAGTGAGTATGCCTCTGCCCCTGCTGAAGTGCCTAGCACAGTGGAAGTGGAGATTGCCCTGGCTGAAAGTGAAAAGATCTACTTCCAGGTACACGTCTCACTAGAAGCTAGGCTTCCAAAGAGAGAGATGCAAAAGGAGAAGTAATTTTAACTCCATATCCTCTCATAGCCTCAAGGAGACAGAAGCAATGGGTTATTTTCCTATGAATGGAATCCTATTTTTCATTTGTTGTTGTGTTTCCAAAAGGTTAGTATTCAAGTGAAATGAACACCAAACATTCACTGTTATTTAGGAGAATTAAAGTGTTAAACTAACTTAAGAATGTGCTTTAGATGAAATTAAAAGTAACTGAGAACCGTGACATGTTGTCCACTAAATTTTCCTTCATGGTTAACCCTGCCTCTGGACAAATAAATATACCCACAGTTACCTGGACAGTGGCTGGGTTTTTATATGAGTGACTCCAATGAGGTTAAAACATGTGGTTGATACACATCCTAAGATGTGTATCCCTGGGTTTTCCCTTTTTGGAGACAGCCATAGGATGTAGAAAAAGAGGAGGATGATTGATGGAGCTGAAAGGTATTTTTATTTAATTTTAACAAAATTCCTTTTTTGATCTTTAGTTTTTATTTTCTTTACTTAATCTAAACAGCATTGTGTTTATTAAAAAATTATTTATTGAGGAATTCCTTTAGCCAGGAATTTTCCTATGCCTTCCAGGCTGCATTATTCTATAGTACTTGGTCCAAAGAAAGAGAGGCTTCAAACCTAAGGCAAGTGAGATGATAAAGGGAGACGATAAAATCTGAAAGGTTTGGGCAAAGAAATCTGGAAAAGTCAAGCAAAATTTTTTTTTTTTTTTTTTTTGAATCTTTAACTTTTTAATACGTGAAAGTGGGGCAGATTTCTCCCTTAGCATAGGAGAATTTTTTCCCAGAATAAGGACCTAGTTTTATTTCCTTAAAACTATCTTCACTTTTAGTATAATTGAGATTGCCTTTCTTAATTAATTAAATGTCACAACTCCAATATAATTATTTTGTGAATAATTATATTAGCTGTCTTCTGTTTTAATCACCATGACACCCTTTTTTTTATTCAACATTGATCAGTATCTTAAAATGTTGTTCCATGGGCTTTATACAATTCCATAACAATTTTGGTAGGAAATACATGATTTTAATATGCAAATGAGCTCTTCATAAAATATTTCCTAAATAATTTTTAAATATTATTTTATTTTTATTACATAGACTACAGGATTATACTGTTTTCTGGAGTTACTATTATGCCTGCTGGCAGCTGGCATCAATAAGAAAGCCCCTTTTTCAAATTATTTAATCATTCTTCAATGTACTCTGATACGGATATGCATGGCTTTTAAGATCTTTACAAACCATATTGGAAATTTATACTATTTTAAGTTTTTTGTTAAAAATAATGTGGATGACTTGAGAAACAGAGGGGAAATTAACAAATTTGAACACTTTCATTTGTAAATTATATGCATATTGTGTATGTTTTTATATAACTTTAATAATAGAATACATAAATTATGTATACTTTTTTTAAACCTAGCATATTATCAGAAACGTTTTAGTATAAAAAGATGCACTGAAATATCCTATGGGAAGTCTGTAATTTTGTACGCAAACCTGTTTCTTATTCCAATGTGTTACTTGCCTGGTTAGCCCAGATGATTGAACCATGGGAGAAAACTGATGACTGTTATGGTTTCAATTTCCGGGTAGCCAGTTACCTTTACTCTCTTTCATGGCCACATGAAGGGACTAAATGACTTAGAAAGAAAATGTGGATGCATTAGTGTGAATTCATCTCCTCTGCAGGAAAAAACACCCAGAGCACAAGACCTAGGTGTGCGCCAATCCCTGTCATTAGTGTCAGGATGAAAAGAACCAAGACAAGGAAAATCTTGATCTTCCACATACAAAAAGTGAATGTGATACAGCTTTCATCTCTGTAATATAACATAATGACCTGCCTTTTTATAGTTAACAGTTTAGGGGTTCCAGCTGATCACCTGCCTGAAATTATTGCAAGCCTGGTGGGAAGCATTTGAGGAGGCATAGCCATGGTTTCGTTTCACTAGGAAATCATTTAGCAAATTACTGCTGTTCTGTAAATTACTGTACTGCATAACTTTCATACTGAGAAACTATTTTCTTTTTCCATAAAAATTGCAGATGAAAGGTTTCTGCAATAAATGACCTGTATTTAAAACAAAACCATTCCTAGAATTTAGAGAATGTGATATAGCATTCCTCATGTGGAAATAAAAACAAATACATTTTTATTGCTAATATTACACAATGACATATTCTCTGGTAAAGACAGTTTTTAATTTATTTACGTTGTTACCCATTGAGATGAATGCACAGAGGCTTCTGAGAGGGAAATAACAAGCTAAATACTTATTTTTTTTTTTAAGGAAAAGAACTAAATTTGGAAATTATAGTTCTTAATGCCTCTGTTTCATACCCTGAAGAGAGCCCCACAATTGGTAATCAATCTAAATGGAACAAAGTATTGGGAACAAACAGTTTTTCTTATGCCAGGTCTTGTTTAGGATATCAGTGTGAGAGGAAGTAGATCAGTTCTTTTAATTATGCATTGAGGTAACATTGGCCCAAACAGAATCTGGGGAAATGGGGCCTTATCCCCACAATCATTATGACTAAGAGGGTCACACTCCAAATAGGATGATCATTGCTGATGTGGCAGAATGCTTACAAAAGGACTAATTCCTCTGGCCTTTTCTAGAAACACTTGCTTAATGGAACTCAGAGCTGGCTCATTTCATTTCAGCGGCAATAAGAAAAGCAGAGGCAGGAGAAAACAAATCTTTAGAGAATAAGGTCCCATTTTCATGCTGCCTTTTCATAAAAAACAGGCTTAGAAACAACAGTGAATGACTGATACTCAGAAGACTAGTGAATAGTAAGTAAATCCCCCAAACTTAAAGATTGTTATGAATAATGAACACAAACACTTCCATGGTAGCTAAAATTCAAAAATAACGATCACAACAGGTGCATATTAAAATTGCCATCTCATATCTAGAATTAATTACAACATCACAAGACAAATACCTGACATTTGAATCTATAGTTAAATAAAGTTGTTGGACAAATGTGAAGATTCAGAAGAATGGCATAAATATGGTTTCACTGCTGCAAATAAAAGCCTTAAGGAAAAGGTTAAAGGAACTGTTATGACTCATTTTGAAGATGAGTAGACTAATTTTTATCATTATCTTCCAGCCTTTTCTCAAACAGTGTTCTTCTAAACTACAGAATTTAGAAGATGTTTTAAGTAACACTTTTCTTTCTCCCATGGATGGTGCATAAATAGCATCATTCCACATACATTAAAGAGAAGTTAATTCATTACATAAAAGGGTGACTAAAAGCACAATTCTCTCATGTAATGGAAGTTGATGGCAATCATATACATGGTGGATCATAAACTAATGTTGGCAAAACATATGGAAGCTAGAAAATGCATTTTGAAGCAAGATATATATAGGGATAGATATAAATAAAGAGTGAATTTCCTAGACATAAAAACATTTCCTTCTTTGAAGGATTTCGAGGTTTGGATTTACTTTCTTCTCACTGGAATGCGATGAAGCTCATAGCCTCTGAAGGCAGAGTCCTTTCCCCAACCTTAAATGTATGCTTGGTTCTTTCAATATGGAGCTATTCAAATATCTACAGTGATGAAGCCCCAGGGTTAGAAGGGGAAAGAGGAAGATACGGTACTGCAGCTAAGAGGCAGTACCCGAGATCCATTTCTTCTCTGAGCTCAACTCAGGATACAAAGAAACACCAACCAAGAAACTTCATGAGGACAGAGAGAAAGTTGACATTAAAGGAATCGAGAGGAGTAACACTTGAAATATAGGCTGCTTACGGGTTCTTCCAAAATGTATTTTGTTTTATCCCTATTATTAATCTTTTTTTAAAAGATAATGCCTATTGTATATAGAACACTGCTTTAAAAAGGCAGAATTATGACTGAAAATAAGTGATTATTATTCAGGACTACAGACAAAGATATGGAAGACAAACTAAATATTAATAAGGTAGATTCGGTGGAAATTTTGGTGTTTTACTTTATAAAACCAATCTGGTTTCTTCTATTTTGTGATAAATGCAAACATAGGAAAATTCTGAACACTTAAAGTTTTATTAAATTCCAAATAATTGAAGTCCTACTGTACATTCTTACCCATAATGGTATTTTATTAATTAATCCACATTATCAGAAATCTAAAATTGTTCACAAAGATCACTATTGACTTGGATTGTGCATTTAAACTATAAGTGCCTTTATCTAACGATACTTTAAGGAGTATTTGGATGAGGCATCAGTCACACTGTGGATACAATCTGCTTTCTCTGGCAACTTATTATTAATGTAAAATGAGAGTCCATATTGATCTTTGCTTATGCAGGCAGTTCACATGAATTCCATGAAACTGAAAGTGAACAATGAAGGGCAAACTCTGGCTTCTAATCAAACAGTAACTTGAAGTTTGAGTGCAAATATCTCTTTTGTAATAAACAAAGATATCTTTCACTTGCAGAACTTTCCATTGTAATGAAGTCATGGTTGGAACAGTTAAAATAGGATAATGCTTGAAAGTGAATGAGTACATGAATACAATTTTTCTTTGCTTTACCTAACTCCTGCCCTTTTTTTCATTTACAGTTACTCAGGAGCCAGAAAATGAACCTGTGCCCCTATCCTTGAGCCCAGACATCTGCTTAAATAAGTCACAGTTAGATGATTGCCTAAGGGACTCTGGTTGTTATATCTCATCAGGAAATTCAGATACTGGCAAAGAGGATCTGGAGTCTGAAAATCTGTCCGACATGGTACATAAGATTACTATCACAGAGCCAAGCAACTGAACACACATTCTCAACTGTATACCTACAGATGAGTTCCATTTTAACTCTTCTTGAGCTAAAACATCAAACCAGGAGAGGAAATAAATATTTGTAAATAAAACCTAGAGTTTAAATGTTTTAATCTGAATAATTGTACATAAAATTTTGTATCTCTAACATTCCAAATTATTGTCAATAAAACACATATTTATTATTTTAAATGCTATATGTTAATATTTCACTTGCATGTATTAGAAAGGTATAATGTAAGACTTCGGTATGTGTGATGTATGCTTTATTTTATAAATACAGTACCTGCAAAAAACAAAGTAACCTTTTTTCATACCTGCCAGTTTTGAATTTGTATGTTATTGAACGAATAGTAATAGAGAAATCTCTGTGGAAACAAGTGGTCCAAGCAATGTTATATTCATTTTTATACTAATTGGGAAAGTGTGAGTTAATATTGGACACATTTTATCCTGATCCACAGTGGCATTTTAGTAATTATGTTTTCTTGGTTTCTTCACTTTGTTTTCTGGTATAAAAGTATAGATAATGTGTTGTCACTTCTGACTTAGTGAAACCAATTGTAATAATTATGCAGATGTTTTCATCTTTAAGTGTAAATATTTTTAAGTTTGACATACCCTGATGTTAATAATAAAAAGAACTATTTGCACATTGCATTTTCCAGAGTAGTGGTACTTAGGGGTTTTAGTGTTGGACTTTAGAGAAAATACCTCCTCCCAGACATCCCTCCCTTTTTGTAATATAAGTGTCTCCCATAGCAATAATCTCAGCCTCATCTGTCCCCTAAACCCTGGTGATATTTATCTGACTCACATGATACCCCCGGGAAACTTCAATTCAACATAACCAAACTATTGATTTTCTCTACAAATTTTTCTCTGCTTCTTTATTCTCAACTTCTCTTTACTGCCACTAACACCCAGCCAGTCATCAAAGCAGAAAATCACTTCTTGCTTCATCTCACATATATTCTCCTCAGACAAAATCAGTAAGTAATCAAGCCCTATGGATCCTACCTCTAAAAATGCTTTCATATTCATGGTGTTCTATCCATTTTCATGGTTATTGTCTTGGTTTGGATCCTCATGATCTCATGCGTGGAATATTGCAGTAGCTTTCCAACTGATCCCTACCATCTCATCCATCCTCCACACAGCCTCCAGATAAATCTTTCTAACCCACAAATCAAATCAGGTACTTTTCTGCTTCAAAGTTTTAGATGACTCCTCATTGTCTTGAGTATAATATTCAAACGTTCTTCCAGGCTGTGTAAGGCCTCTCCTTACTTTTTTACTTTTTACCTACCTTATGAATTGTAACTACCCCCTCACCACCAACACCATACACGCACACCTCTCAATATACACTCCTGTCATAACAATAGACTTGCTATTTTCTTCTCTTTGTGACTTTTCATATGCTATTTATTTTCCTGGAGTGTCTCCTGCTATTTTCCACATTAGGAAGTCTCCCTCCTTTCTCCAAACTGAAGGTCGCTTACTCTGTGAAGCCTTCCATGATTCCCTTTGGTGCTCTCTTCTTTGTGCTTCCATAGCAACTTGTAAATTGTGGGTCATAGCACTTGTCATATTATGCTTTATCTATTTGTATGACAATTGCCCTTCCGTAAAACTGTGACCTCTTTGTGACAGAGATTATTTTGTTTAGCCTTTTAAATCTCTGGTGCCTAACAATACCTGGCACAGAGTGGGGGACTAAGAAATATTTGCTAGGAGGCATTGAATATGATGATTCTTCTCATATAATAGAGTCTATCTCTATTTAAATTGATCCACTCAAACTAAAGGTAAGTACCTTCCAAAGTGACCTATTTTTTTTTTAAACAAATAAAGCCTAATATCTTAGAAAAAAAAAAAAAAAACCAGGAAACACGAAGTGTTACTTCAAATGCTGGAGGACAGCATTACATTGTTAATGCCTGCCTATTTTTCCAGACCCCTGAAATTTAACTGCATATGCAGCTCCCAAGTGAGGCATAAAGCACATGTCTAGCTCTATTCTTCTCCGCTTCATGGTGTGAAATGGTGTGTCAATTTCAGTTTTCCAAGATGCTGCCTCCATCATGACCCCACTCTTGCTAAGGCTATTCCCCCAAACTGAATATTCTAGGGTGTCCTTAAACACAGCAGTCACTAACCATAATTTTATAACTTTAATCAACCCACTGCCTCAGGGAGATCAAGAGAGGATAGTTTCTTTATGGAGATGCCAGGAAATTGTAAGCTGGGAAGCAAGTAACAAACTACTTGACTTTAAAAGAGTGGCCATCGCCATGACATGTACTCAGCCACAACTTCAACCCCTTAAAAATGAAGGTCTGGTGAAGGACTTAAGGGAATACTTTTGAGAGGAAATGCAGCAGAGGCCTAGAGGAGATTGAAACAGAGGAAGAGAGATTGGATTCCTAAAAAGAAGACACCATGGGGTTCAAGTGGTCAGCAGGAAGCCTTCATCTGCAGTTCTGCAATGGAAAGGACACGTGTATAGTGGGCATATCTTCCACATTAAGGGTGTGCTCCTGTCCGTCCTTTACTCACAGCTCCTCACCGTGCCCCTGCAGCTCTAGTCTCAGCTCCCTCTATGTGGGGGAGGGAACATCAACAGAAGGAAGACAGGTTTTTCACTTGGCTATGGAAAGCTGAATAAAGCGGAGCAGAAAGATAAGAAATAGCTCATTCAAAGTTGGGAAGTAGTTGAGGAACTTGGACCTTCTGCTGCTTTTGACTGAGTGAGAAACATGAGTCTGAGTCTTTTAAGATGGCTAAAGAATTAATACTTTAATAATGACAGGATCATGATGCTGTCTTTGTGTTTCTAGGATAAATCCTGATGACATTTCTAGTCTCACTTGTTGATTTATTCACTAAGCCATATTTAAACATGGAACATGTATGTTGTCCAAGACTATGCCAAAAAAGGTCTTTTTAACTAGAAAACTACATGAGAATCACACCGCAGCTTATCTCATTGGAACCCACTGAGTCTTTCATATACACACGGTTGTGTATCTATGATGCAACAGTTATTCTGATCCCAGAGATTCCCTGTCTTTCCAAATTCAAGTATGTTGTGACAGTATGCATGATTAGAGGAATTTTATTCTAGATAAATAAATAAAATCATAATAGTTTTTGATGAATATAAAAATCAGATCATTTAAATTCTGAGTTTCCCTTGTTCTATTGCTAATGTAAACATGAATATATCTTCACTCTGAAGTATTTTATTATATTTTTTAATCAACTAAATTGCCAAGGAGTTTAGTTCAGAAATAAAATAACTTTTAAAATTTCAAAAGATAGGCAGCTAAAGATTATCAGGATTTCAGAAAACGTACAGTTTACTGAGGTTATAGTCAAGTGCCTTGCAACTTCCTGAGTGAGGCCAACTTGATGACATTTCATGTTGAGAAACTTCCGTTACAAGCAGAAGTTCTGAGAAAACTAATACGAAGAAATTGTAGATACTCCATCATTTCACACAAACACGCACTTCCATCCTCCCCACAACCATCAAAGAAACTTGCATAACTAATTTGCATACAGACTTCAAGTACCCTTTCATAAAGTAGGAAGTCACGCTACCATCATGTAAAGGTTGAGAGCAAAATGAATAGAGACTAAATATAGGTAAACGAACAGCAGCTTCTAAACTTGACCAGGAATTTGTCTATAGAAATGAGATAAAAGTAACTTTCCTTTTATGTTACCTCCTGTTTAACTACTGAATTCCTCTGATCATACCCAGTGTTGACCTAAACGTAGAGACTAGAGGAGGTCATAGAGTTGAACCATCTTGTTTGAGAACTGTGTGACTCTGGGCAGGTCATTTATCTTCTTTTGTTTTTGAGACAGAGTCTTGCTCTGTCACCAGACTGGAGTGCAGTAGCATGATCTTGGCTCACTGCAACCTCCGCCTCCCAGGTTCAAGCAATTCTCCTGTCTCAGCCTCCCAAGTAACTGGGACTATAGGTGTGCGCCACCACACCCAGCTAATTTTTGTATTTTTAGTAGAGACAGGGTTTCACCATGTTGGCCAGGATGGTCTCGATGTCTTGACCTCATGATCCACCCACCTCGGCCTCCCAGAGTACTGGGATTACGGGTGTGAGCCACCAGGCCTGGCCAGGACATTTATCTTCTAAGCTTAGTCTTTTTTTTTTTTTAATCTACAAAATGTTGTCAAGCGAGATAATGTGTGTAAAGCACACAGCACAATGCATGCAGTATGTGCATAAAAACAACTACTGTTATTATATCCACTACTTCATTTTACTCATTGATGTCTGGATATTCAGTGGAAGCAGTGTACATGCTACCACAATGCAGGCATGGACTTGTCAGCATTTGAAGTTCTTAAGACACAAATTGTCTCAGAACTAGGACAACTGTGTTTGTCAGAAGCAATGAGAGAGTTAGCTGGCTTAACAGAACTTCTCAGATGAATGACTATTTCTTCATGAAAGAATATTTCTTTGTTTACTCCTGACCACCTTAGGAAGAAGCTGCATTATATTTAGTGCATTAAATCAAAGTGCATTATATTTAGCTTTGATTCCTCACACCTAGCTTGATTGGAGTACTTTTTTTTTTTCCCCCGCAAGGGGGAGTCTCACACTCTGTCACCCACGCTGGTAGCTGGGATTACAGGTGTGTGCCACCATGCCTGGCTAATTTTTTTGTATTTTAGTAGAGACAGGGTTTCACCATGTTGCTCCGGGTGCTTTTGAACTACTAAGTTCAGGCAATCTGCCCTCCTCTGCCTCCCAAAGGCTGGGATTGCAGGCATGAGCCACCACGCCTGGCTGGAGTTCTCATTTTTGAAGAATGAAGGATTTACAAATAAACGCCTAATGAATGAGTGAAAAACATAAATAAAAGTTTTGGGGTTATTACTGGTATTACTGCACCCTGGACCCTGGTCTCTTAAAGATTATGGGGTCACAACTCATTATGATACAGACAACAGAGAAGCCCTTAGGAAGGCAGCCTAAATGTAGATATCTACCTATTTATGAAGCTTATGAACATGTAGGCAAACAATCTGTCATGAGAAATCAATGTGCAGAAAGAGGCTGAGAAGCTACCAGGAACATGTATGACCTAATTATAACCCCACTTCCCTATTCTCATACTGCAAACTTCTCACATTTGAATTCCCAACAGTATCAGAAGGTAGAGTATCAGAAGGTCTGTGTGAGGTACATAATAAGTTTAGAAACCATGAGGGAAGAATCTAAAAAATTACATTAGTATATACAGTGGTTTCTTTTGACCTTCAGGGGTCCCTGATGGGTCTGAGTGCAAGGCCCCATTTCCTCATAGGGCAGGTGTAGAATCCTGATGTGTAAGGCTAACAGGATCGTTTCCTTTCTGAGTTCTTGGGCACTAGGCCAAGTGAATGGGCAGGAATCATCCCCGTTGCCGAGTAAAATGGGGTGAAAAGCACTTCTGGCACACTTCGTTCATATAAATTATACTTGTTTGCAATTCATCAACTCCTTCTCTACTTTATATCCATATGTAATGTAAATGATCATCTTTCTCTGAAGCTCTGTAATGATGCACAGCTCAAAAATGTGATAGAATCAGCTAAAAGAGAGCAGATGGAAGTTTTCCCCCAACATGC